GGTTAGAAAAGGATATTGGACAATGAAACAAAACAGAAAAGGCCAAAAAGAACACATTCAACATGCGTACATTTCCCAGCACTCTTTAGAGAGTACTGTTTAGACTCTAAAATGATATCGCCTGTACAGAAAACGGGAGTAAAAGGGAGATGGAACTTCGGGACTGTGTTTGTACGGTCAGAACACCCACATATGGTTTTCATATAATGACAAACATACATTTCTATTGATACAAATGTAAGTCAATTATTTTCTATGCGTAGGATCTGCATAATCAAGGTTAACTATGGTACAATGATGCACCAAAGAAATTAGACAGACGATCGTGTGTGTGAATGGGAGAAAACATACTTCCCGTTATGCTATAGAAAAGCAAATAAAACCTGATATCTACAGTAAAGTACAGTATAGTATAGTATAGTTGGGTGAGACTTCTCAACGCAGTCCTCTATATACACAAAACAACAACAATACCTTTGGATGGACGGAAGAAACAGTCCAGTGGATAGAGCACCAGCGGCTGTAGAAGTTTTAGTTGTGCTACGTGGTAGACAGACAGAGTTAAAGCTGCGATACATAAGGTACTGCACGGCAGAATCACGGGTTTCTTTGTACTGCAAACAGAATCAGAGCCTCTCAGATTTTAATTTAGTGCATCCGTTGATTGAAGATGTTGTTGAGGTCCATATCGTCTGCTGGGCTGACGCAAACGTGTGGGTTGTGAAGTGGCGGTCGGCGGCGAGCTGCCCCTGCCCACGCGCACCCAGACAGCGTGGAGATGGGGCACACGTCGGCGGCACATCCCGCCGATATCAAAACACTTCCACATCAAACCACGGAGATTTCGCTGCGTTTTCAAACATGTGATTTACTCAACAACTTTGAACACATCAAGTGTTAGTCGTTGTCAAGACTTCAGTGCAGTACGGGGGTGTTTAATGATGCTGATACACGTTACCAAGATGGAAAACACTACCATTCAATGTGACATTGAAATCTGAAGGATTCATCTCAAGTATGCCCGTAAATAACATCATCAGGTTGGGGAATGGCTAGCAAAGTTCTTTGTTCACAACCGCTTTTTAAAAACGAGCCGACGTTTCGATGACCGTCTGTCATCTTCGTCTTCTTCAAGACTAAAATAGTTTCAGTGCACTGTGAACCAGTAACACAGTGCTCAGTAAAGCAGTCATATTAGCCCTGATGAAGATGGCAGGTGGTCATCGAAACGTCGGCTCGTTTAAAAAAAAGAAGTGGTTTTGAATAAAAAACTTGCTATCCAATCCCAAAAGATGCTTAAGACAACGTATATGGTTGCATCGAGACATGGCATTTTGGGTTTACAACATCATTATTCGCTGTTTCTGTCCCAAGCATGATTTTATGTGGAGTGACTAAGTAGGGTCACCCTGTTGTCCACACTGCGTAACGCACGTTGGACTCCACCCCCGTACGCGTCTGACTCCTGAAACGCACTCCGTGCAAGTTATGATCAATGGTGAGTTTAAATGTCTCCACATGATCCTCTTCATTTCCTGGTGTCCATTTCGTAACACCCAGTTACAGTACGAGCACATTAAAACCTTCCCCGACTGACTACGACATCGTTTTCATTACACAGACTCCGAGCATTCGAGTACAACTCGGTGAAGCAAATGCGACATTTTGTTTCCTCAGGCTGTCACCCTTCGGACAAGTTTTAAAGGCATGTATTAATTGAAAGGGCCTTTACATCAACCTTTAATATATAAGGATAAAAAAAGTTGGTTCTTAGGGATTGGATTTCACATATTAAAGCCACAATACCGCTCATGTGTGACGACACGTGTATAGTCCACTTTCATGAGTGGGACTTAAACTTAAAACCAAGCGTTGATTACAACTTTTAGCATAGGATTGTTTGGACTGTACTGGTTTTATCGTCAACTCTATAATACTGTACCCGTAAAGCAAATAAAAAGATGATTAGCCACGAAGAGTAACTAAGTAAACATGATCTAAACGCTTTGAAGGCAACAAACAGAAATTGTAGGTAGAGAAGAAAACGACTACCACTCTTTTGCGCAGTTTTTACTTTTTCCACAATTGACCTTAACTTAATCAGGTCCATTGTTGCTACGTTTAGACCACCCTTGCTTCCCATACATAGGTATGGTCCCAATGGACAGGTTTCTTCACTCAACAAAGCGTTACTCTGGCTACCGCATTTTCTAAAAGGCATCCTGTCGAAGCCGTCTGTGTCTAAGGTGAGTAATTTGTGAACACCTGCATTGTAGACATTTATACCACCGCATGTACGTCAAGTGAGCACATTACAAGGGTCAAGGCCTGAGGATGAAGGTGTCCATAGAAGAGCGAAGAAAGTTCTGTCTGGTCCTTCCATCTGACAAGCTTCCATCTAGACACATGAGCGGTATACGAGACTACAATGAAGGGTTAGACAGCCAGGTAATGAGATACACAAGGAAATTGATACTCAAGCAACTGGATAGATTTGAAAAAAAAATGTTTCAAGGAGCATCAACTACTTTTCGTCAGTGACTAAGAAAATCTGAAGTTGAACTATGATTTGATATGTAAATGGCCAACATTGCAGACCATCCTAGATCAGGACAAAGGAGTTACAGTAATGATATACGTAGGTATTGTGATGTTTGAGAAGACTAGGGCGCTGCAGACGATGTCATATCATTGGCAAACAATCCTGGTCTGCAAAAAGTGGTGTGGAGTGGTGTAGTGGTTAGCTATTCCGCTCCTGAACGACAGGGCTAGGGGTTCGAAACCCGTCGGAGATCCCAACCTCGAAAATCATATGCACACCACTGGTGGGTGTTGCAGACTTGCATGGAGCTTTACGTTTTGGTTGTGAATGTTTAATAACGAGAATCCTTCTTTGTAAGTAAGTTAAAGAACTCACCACGCGTTCTAAAGTTACAATAGTAGGACCACATCTTGGCCTTTGACTTATGGCTCAAACTCGTTGTTTGTTTGAGCCATACGTCAAATACAGAACTAGTGTGTTGCTACAACACTTGGTGACGTACCAGTCATGAGCATTACATTCATATTCTGAATTATTTCAATAGAAATCGCACAATTACAGACGAATTAAAATCAATGTTGAAAAGTTCACCGATGTGTATAGTCATCTCTGGTCACCTGGTCTTGTCTACGCAAGAAGGAAAAACTATAACACCACCTGGTCTGGAGGTACAATTGATAATACTCGTATGTGATGCATTATGCAAAACACCTTACGGGCGTTACAGGTTGTTTTCCATAGTTCCTGTCACAGGTAATTCGCTATAGGATGTTTACCAGACGGATACAACTATCTAATCTATACCTGACCTTGAAGAAGGAGAACATCATGGCGTCTTCCTCTCGTTCGAACATGTCAAGTCCTTTCTACTCGCGCAAGCAAAGGTCTAGGTCGTATTTTATTGTACCCAGACTTGTCTTTCACAAAACTGTGAATGCTTTGATCTACGTTGTTTCACTAGGTGTTAATCTAAGCCAAGTATTGAATCACACGGAGCCGCACTGAGATTTGCAGACACAGTCGACAGATGAAAAGGCCAATATCTAGCAAATAAATTGAACGTAATGTCAATGTACCACGATGTGGGTGGCTTAAATGAGCTGTAATTAAGCGTCATTTAGTCTGTCTGACACAACCGAAGGACCATATACAAGCACGGGGGCGAGAAGAGTATCTTCCCACGTCTGACTCGACCTACCAGCCGAGCTCTTCAGTAAGAAACCAAACAACAAGAAAACCGGAAAGGCATCAACAATCGTTAAGGTGGTTAATTTTCTCTGGTTTTACTCGCAGTACTGTAATGCAGGCTAAAGTGAAGACAGCAGTCCGGCTGTGGAGAAAAGCGCTTGTCTATCCCTGTGTCCTTGCGTGGTCTCCCCTCTCCGCCCACGGCGCGCCTGCGGTAACACACCCCCGCCGGTGGACCGAAGGAAAGGTCGCACACGTACTCACACCCGTTGTCGTCAAAATTCCCTTCTGTAATATCTCTCCTTTTTATCAGTTCTTCCCATTTTAGTTTTTATCGCCAATTGTTCACCCACTCCCTCCTGGAAATAGCCACCCTAGCACCGACAGGTCGAAACTATAGACCTACCTGCGTGGTCGATGCGTCTGCGGGAATTATGGCGTGAAATATTACCGGCACCAAATCTCATCCACCTTGTCCTGACATCTGGTCAAACCCATCTTACTCCCACCAAGTCGTATTAAAACCATTTACTTCACTGTCAAACGACTCTCCGGCAGCGTTTCTCAATAAGTGTGTGAGCGTACAAACACACACACACACACTATCGGGCTGGTAGTTTTTCAACTGGTCTGACAGTTTCATTCGAACGGTGCTCTACTGGTTATATAAAAAATCCATTGTGACCCTGGACAAAAGATCGCAACCTCTTGAAGGAAACTTAAGACGTGTACTTCTTAAGGGCGTTTAAGTACCACTCATTGAGAGGACCGCGTATCTTAAGAAGTAGGTAGATTGTTTATCACCGGTGATAATCTGTTAGTTCCTGACGAGGTTGATTGGTGATAGCACACACATTGTGATTTATTTGACCCATAGTTAGTCTAACTGCGTGATCGACTGAGGTATGCTTAATTACCGACATCTTTTCACCGTTGCGATTCGCTTTACCACTACCACTGGGCTTGCATGGAGGAAATGGTTTACAGCTGTGCAGTAGCGGGGAGTACTACCATCTCACTTCTCCAAAAACTACCCATGCAGACGGCCTGTTATGCTGCACTGGTAACACGGTGGAGCCAAAGTAGCCCAGGCTGGTAAAAGCCTGACCTTGTGACCCCTGGTTAATCGCAGACACCAGCTCGGTTTGGCTTTACACTTGTCATGCATCATTATGGTCACGTAGACATGGCGGCAGCAATACACCGTGCAGCAATGCAACAAAAGCAATGCGGTTTACGAAGAGAGAGAGAGAAAAAAGTCCAAACTTACCTGACAAGAGAAGCGGACCTTGGCGGAGTCCCTGAAGCGGTACCATCGAGGGCTGGGGGCGGCCGGGCTGGGGATGAGGTACCACAGGTGCGGGTAGAACTGAGAGAAGAGCTTGGAGAACTCGCCGTGCCACACGGCCTCCATACTCCTAGACGTAGCCAGCCACGCACAGGCGAGCCATCCGGGGAGGGAGGGCAGAAGATAGAATGGAGCGTCAACATACAAGCGCCTCATCTTCATAAAATCGGCGCGCTGTTGTACACATTGAGCGCACGTGTCTCACAATATACTCGGGTGTAATTACTACAAAATCGCCTTACGTGACATACACACACACACACGCACCCAGCCAGGATACCACTACACTGCTAGTGGGGACGTGCCCACTACTGTAAAGAGATTGACTTCTTTAACATCCATCAAATTTTACACCTCCGTATGTGCAATAGACTGTGATTCGCTGAAAGTCTAGCCGGCGTACGTGACTTGGGAAATATTCCTGCGCACTGAAGGGGGGTGATTCTTGGAAAGAAGACACTCACACACACACAGAGGTGTGATTTTTGTCCCAGGTAATGGCTGAGATTTCATTGGGTGGGCGAAGGGTTTTCTGAGAAGGTACTACTAGCAGATTAACAACATCACGGAGGAAACGTGCACGTATAGTGTTGTATCACGGATTGTTAACTTAACGTGGATTAAATGATAACTACACATAGCGGAGTATACTACCTGTGGTGAGGGGATTTTAGGGGGCAACCGTTAGAAATTACTACACTACTGGAACGCTACGCTGAGGGGGAGAAGAAATAAAAAGACGGGTTATAAAGAATAAAAAAGATAGAAAGAATGAGAGAGAGATACCCGAATGCTATGCAGTGGGAAAGGGAAGGCGGAGAAATAAAAGAAGGTTATAAGACAATCAAGAAAGACAGGGAGAGAGAGAGAGGATGGGAGAGAGTTACTGAACGCTACGCGGAGAGAGAAGTAAAAAGAGAAATAAAAAGAAGGGTTATAGAAAAGCAAGAAAGAGAGAATGCGGGAGAAAGCTACCGGAACGCAATGCAGAGGGAAAGGAGGAGAACTAAAAAATGAAGAGAGCAAAAGGGAAAGAGAGAGAGAGCGGGCTACAGTAATGCTACGCTGATGGAAGGAGAACTAAAAAAAAGGGGAAGAGAGAGAGAATGAGAGAGAGAGAGAGATGTGGTGAAGTGTCCGTCACCCGTCTGTACTGTACCTAACGTGTTCCTCGTGGATGGAGCGGCCTGAGGCCTGCATGGCCTCGTGCGAGTCCTCGCTGGTAGGAGGAATGGGAACGGTGGCGGCCGGAGTGTGCACCATGGCTAACGGTTCCAGGGTTTTAACGGAAGGGAGCCCACCACCACACAGTGTGTTGTTGGGGTTTCTATAGAGATGTAGGCCAGGTTTGGGATGGGATAGGTGGGAACGTGGTGCCTTGTGCGGTGGTACAAGCATGGGAGGTACGACCGAGCCGGCTGCCAGGGTATAAATGCGGTGGGGAGAGGAGACGCCGCGCTTTTGGGCTACGAGATGAGGTCATGAGGGGCCCCGCTGGCGTGAAAAAGCCGTCCCATCAGAAGAGTTGCGCAGGCAACGTCATAGGTAGGTTTAACAATGCAAACGCCGATAAACAACTTCCTTGGCAGTCGGCGCACGTTGTCACGCGCTCGCGTTACCTAAGGCTTTCATTTACGACGCGTCTACCTTGTGCCCCATCGACGTAATACGGGGCTGCTGGCGTAAAACGTCTGATTTGTGAATCAATAGACGCGCGAAACGTCCCGAAATGGGCAACCGCCCCGCGTGATGACGTCAATAGGCAAAGTGCCTTGCCATATTAGGAAAAACGCGGAGAACGGAAATGACCAAATAAGGAAGAAATCGGCATCACAGAGATCGCGGTTGACGTCATTTGGAAGAACGAGTCGAAGCGAAATGTTTACCATAATTTAATAATTCTTGCAGTGATGCATTTAGTATGTACCCTTCAACGTGCCACTAGACCGAAAGGACGGTTGTAGAAAAATGCACAGTAGTAGCTGCTAGAATTATCTGCGAAAGGCTGGGTTCTTTGCTCACTAGAAAACTATGTATGTAAAGCTCTTATGTTGCTAGAATGGACCTGACCGGGACACACTGCTGCTGCTGACTGTATGTACACAGCAGGGTAAAATTGTTCCGTCCGCGCTAGAGAGTCCGCCATGTTGTTTATCCGGCTCAGGCGGAAGGCGTTAGCTTCGCCGGGCCGGGCCGGGCTCGGCGTGATTCGTTACCTAGGTGGAAATTGGACGTCAACGTCACACTTAAGTCGGCTTCAACCAAATTCCGGCCGGATTTGACGTCAATGAGCTCAAAGCCCGCCCTGTAAGGATGCAGGCGGGAGGGTGGGGCGGTAGCGGCGGTAATTTATCAGGTAAGGATTCTCGTGCGTCACACCGCGGTGTGTTTTGCAAAATTTGAACAATTGAGACGGGAAAATGTGCTGCATGTGCGACGACGTTTACGTAACTTAAAAGGGATTTCTTCCTAATAAGTCTGCATTTCCGTAGCCTAGAATCTTCCAGCCATGGTAACAGTACATATTGTGAGATTCAGTGTGTAATAAACAACATCATATTCACCCTTGTGTTTTGGTTATCATTATTGTGGTTAATGTACACAGAAGAGAATTCCGAGCTGACATACATTTTGTAAGAGAGACATGAGAATGGTATCAAGCCATCGACAGTGTACATAAAAATATACCACCGGCTATACGAACACGAGCGAAATACGACCTCCATATGTTCCGAGATTTGTCCCTACGCATGGTGCTGAAATCGTGGTGGTTGTTGCTGTCCCTGAGATATTTTCTATTTGTTGACAAATTGCGTGCCGTATGTCTGTAGTCATCTCCAAATTGTACATTTGCTCCATAAGACAATATTACGTGTGTAGGTCTGTGGGTTCAGTAGATGGAGGTGGGTTTTCCAGGAAAAGATGGGCAGGGCCAGATTAGGCCGAATCAAGGCGATAGTGGGTATATCATCATCCATAGGCTACGCATTTCTGTACAAGCACAACAGCACTGAAACCCACGAATAAAAGGAATGGAAAAATGGATCCCTCAATAGTTTAGTTGATTCACGTTTATTGCCTGTTTATAAGCGTTAAAATGTATAGCCCCACATATGTTGTTACCTCTGAGTTAATTGTATGGAACAAACAACTGCATGCGCTTTATACTGACTAATCTTTTACAAATTTGTCTTGTCAAAACGTTGATAATTTGGTTCATAATTGAAAATCGATCAATTTGGCATAAATGACAATAACTTTAGCGTATGATAATGAGTTAAGATAGTTACACTTATTCATACAATCAAAATGCATGTTCACAAATATTGACGTTTTCTTCATAATCATTATCGGCTGTTGTATATCACGATGTTTTACTTAGTACCTTGATGTAAAAAAGACTGAGTCATTGCACATCAAAATTCACGGTGCGAGGCGCGCTGCAAATGAGGTACAGTCAATCGACCTTCATACCTGTCCAAACTTGACCTTGTAAGGTCAAGGACACTTGTTTTGGAACAAGATGGCGGGCCTCGGTGCGTTACGTGACATGGTGAATCATAGGGGGATACGCTCTTCCATCTACACCCCTTTACCTTAAGCTTGTGGCAACCACGCAAGGTTACGCCCAATGTGCTCTGGAACACTATACACTAGTTAACGTTTAAACAACACGCCTACAACTGGCAGGCCGTCATTTTGTGGTAGCTAGCACTTTGCTGTACCCCTGCCCACGCCAGGGACCATTTCAACAGAGTAAAACAACTGTAATAAGCAGACCTGGGAGGCGGGGGAACAATTTGGTTCTATCTGTATCGACCACACAACGCTCACCTGTGGCCACCAACGTACTGTTAACATCGCTGTAATTTTCCTACTCATGTGAACTACACTTAAATGAGTTCCGATATATATTTCATCAGTGATGAAACCTGAAGTAGGTAGTAGGGGTATACAGGCATGGAAAAGGAACAAAAAGAGAGGAGGGAGAGATAGAAAGAGAGAGAAAAAATCAGAGAGAACGAAATTACTCCAGATGGCATCACGACACACACATATCTTAAAACTCTCATTTTTATCTACGTTTGTATGAATATTCAAAATGTAGTGATGTTGAGAATTATAAACGACAAAGTAGGAAAAGCTAGAATGCTACGCACGATTTCATATAAAACTACCAAAGTACCCTATCTTATACACATATGCGTCATCTAAGCACCGTCAAATTGGCTTGTAAAGAACTAGTAATGGGGAGGTTGTCCTGACCGATTGGACTTCATGCGTCGTTTCTAGTACCAGTATTTCAGTGACAAAGAGATCACGTTACGTAAAATGTTGCGCAAAATCTGTCGTTTCTAGTACCACTGTCACAATGACAAAGAGAACAAGTTATGTAAACACGTTACGTAAGATCTGTGGGTGTGTGGCAACAATGACCATAAAGGGTCAATACATATGAAGCTGTTGTTTGTCCCTTTACGATTCTATCGTCTTTTGACGACAAAAAGGTTTAAGATATCAACACAATACGACGGAGGGCAGGCGATTAGCAAGAGAGGTTATTAGCGAGGGCAAGGGACTTCTCTCAAAACGCCGTACGCTATCTATATTCCACAAGCACAGCAGAGCAATATCATCCCCCGAATCATTTCCAGAATTGTAGTAGTTCAATTTCAACAACCAACGCAGCTATTGAGAAAAGTAACGTTAGCTGCAGCAGCTACAGTGTGGTAGAACCAGTAGGCGTTTGTTTCACTACTTGGTGTTGGACAAAAGCGAGTCTTCCCACGCTGATCGTTAGTTCGGACGGGTCCTCAGGGGAAGCTGATAAAGGGTGAGAGAGAACAGACTCTCAGTGAGAAGGGCGATATCAGATCCAACCCACGGGGACCTGCTGATCTCACATCAGCCGCAGGAAAAGAAATAGGCTCCTAATTAGTCAGAAACGAAACAGAAAATCATTATAGTGTCTTCAAGTCCTGGGCTACGCCCTTGTACCAAATACTGTACCGATGGCATCAACGAGTGGCTTAGATTGTCATTCTCATACAGGACTGTTCAGCCATAACCTAAGCTGTAGGGCTGTTAAAATAAGGATTTTGCCATGGTCAATATTGACAGAAGGAGGCCATATAGAATGCCCAAACTATTTCGTGACTTTGAGCAAACTCAATTAGTCGTGTAAATCCAGGTAAATATTCCCTTCTCTTGCAGTCTTATGGTTACCGGTTCTTATTGTTATGCTTGGAGCAATAGACGTAAGGTCCTGATTGTCATGAATGCAAATTTTCTAATTAGATGCGTTTCGTACAAAGGAAACATGCGTCGTACATTTTTAAAATCTCCGAATGTTCTTTCCATGCATCCGTAGTCCAACGATACACTATACAGCTTTCAAAGGACAATAAGTTATCAAGGATGAAGAAAGTGAGTGAGTGAGTGTGTGAGTGAGTGAGTGAGTGAGCGAGCGTGTGAGTGAATGAGTGAGCGAGTGAGTGAGTGAGTGAGTGAGTGAGTGAATAAGTGAGCGAGCGAGTGAATGAGTCGCATCGCGTACCAGTGCAGGAAGTCAACTACCAGGATGGCCGAATGGGAGGAGGCGTTGGACGTAAGTCCCAATATGGATGTTCGTCTTCGTGATCATGAGTTCGAACCCCACTCCCGACAGACACATATGTTAGAAAGATTTTTTTACATCAACCTCGTCGTGCTCTAGCAGACAAGGGATCTAGAAATGACCGGCTCAATTCATCCTTAGCATTCCGGAGTAGACGTCGTGTTCTTGGGAAAGGTTTTGAAATGAAATGCCTGCAGAGGGACACTACTATAATCACCTACATCTCTGTCTAAGTTTCAGTTTATATACATGTATATAGAAACATCTTTCAACACTTCTCTAGGGCGTAGCCTACTTCGCGATCATTCACGATACACGACCGCAGCTCACGGGAGCTTTTTCCCCAACATGTAATGACAAGACGTGGTGACGGCACACTCAAGTTTTCTTTTCATCTTAATTTTAAGCCGCCACCAACACAGACGACAATACAATACTCATTGAATGACATTTCAGGTCGTCCTTAACGTTACTACACGCAGCCGTTGGTAACACAGGGAACGCCGCTGATTTTACGACTCTCTACATTAGAAGAGCCGTGATCGGGACCTGGGTACGTGGCGACCGCAAAAGCAGCCATGAAGACGACAGACCGTTCAACTGGTGAGTCAAACAGCTTCAGGGTGCAGAGACAATTCCTCTGGAAGATGAAAGGCCCCTCCTCGCCCAAAAAAAGATAGAGAGTGAGTGAGTGAGTGAGTGAGTGAGTGAGTGAGTGAGTGAGTGAGTGAGTGAGTGAGTGAGTGAATGAGTGAGTGAGTGAGTGAGTGAGCGAGAGAGTGAGCGAGTGAGTGAGAGAGAGGAAATATAAACAGAGAGAGAAGAGATAGAGATAGATAGAGAGAGAGAAAGGAGAGAGAGAGAGATAGATGGAGAGAGGGAGGGAGAGAGAGAGAGAGAGAGAGAGAGAGAGAGAGAGAGAGATAGAGTTTAAACATCTTGAAGCACCACAAGGCCAATATAAAGGAGATGTTTAAGTGGGATGATATGACTCAGTGGCGAAGGAAGATGCAGAATCTGTAAACAGATATAAGACAGAGCTCTCTCACCAATCTCCTGGCGATGACAGCTATGATAGAGCTCCCACGCGAACGTATTATATAATATTCCCCTAGACACAGTTTTCCATCCCTCCCTTCAGCCAAACGCGTTGTTAAATAAGTATTAGCCCTCGGGCAAGAATTTGCAATAAACAAACTTTAAATGGTTAAAACGGTTTTGAACATGACGGTGTCAAGCTGATCTTGTAACGTCATTATGAAAGACACGCCGGGCATATCCATGATGCACAAAATGACTAAATAAACTGGTGGATGTCCCAATTAATAAGTACCTAATACCAGCCCAGAAGAGAACAAGAAATAGCCATGCCTGTCAAGTACCAGAGTTGTCAATCAATCAACCAAGGATTGAGGTGTCCATGAATTCATTCTTTCCTAGAACTATCGCAGAGTGGAACTCGCTGTCACCAAGTACAGTAGGGACATTGTCATTAGATAGCTTTAAACAATGCCTAGAGTTAGATGTTCAAGGGTTAGGTGTAACAAGTCGATCGGTGTAATGTATCCAGCTGCCGCCGCGCCGCATGCCTGCGAAGCTGGTGTGTTACGCCGAAAGGCGGTTATACACAGATACATTCAGAGAGGGGGCTGCCTACGTCCCCCTGCGCCTACTCTCAGTCCTCGACTTTCACCTAAACTTTCGTGCAAACACATCCATCTACAAGTACACATTGGTGAAATTGATATGCACATGATATATACTAGAAAGTACATGCAGGCTGGCTTACTGGAAATTGCTAAATCCACCCTCCCACAAGACCTTAGCTGAGCGTATCGCGTAACGTACCTTTCCATACAGGTGCTTGACAAGTCCGTCCGAACGTGTCCGAGATGAGAAGGCAAAGAAAGAGACAGGCGAGATTTTCTAGTGAGGAGGAAGAGTCCGTGTTCACGTGATGTGACACGCCTAACACCCACAAAGATCTAGCTGTGGCCAGTTTCTAGTCTCGCACACAGACCTTGTAGGAGGGGACCATTCCAAGCGTTCGCGACCGGCTGGGGTTGGTCGTGAGTCGATCCTGATTTCCAGCCCACTTTATCTTAGTAGAGACAGCCAACGCAAGACTACCAAGAAACCACGCTACACCTACTACCCCAAGGGAGAGATATGCTCCTTCAAAATGACTCTTTGGAAATAGGGATTTAGCGGTTTGGATTCCCTGTGTAAACGTACGAGGAGAACAAAAATAACCTCAAAGATGCTTGTTATCAATTCCAGAGATGACAGGCGACAGGGACTACTAATCACTCCTTAGGAGTACGTAGGACGTTTTTGTTCTAATAGTGGGCACCATGTAGCGAAAACAGTCCTTCCGGGTAATATACTACTACAAAGAAACTAACTACAGCAGAGAAGAGATGCCAAACAATGAACCGGTCCTTCGCATTGAAAGCCAAACTGCTTGAACTAAATGACCTCTCAATAGACCCATTCGACTTTCACAGATCGCATAATTTGCCTACGTCACAGGGGGACATTTCGAAAGAACGTCATTCTAGAACGCTGAAGTCGAACGGAGCTTGCGCTCTCGGTGTCCCCCCTGTTAGATCATTTTTTTACTAAAAGGTAGGTAAGTGTCTATTTTCTTGGTAATATATGCGGACATGACAGG